ACGATTCGGATCCCCCGGACGGAGCGCCCCCCGACGCCGCTCGCAGCGCCCCGGACCGCGGCGGCCCCCGCGGCAGGAGCGGCTCCTCCCGACCGGAGCGGCTCCCCACGGCGCGGTCCGGACCGCCCCCGGCCCGGATCCACCACCTCCAGCCCGGCTCCCAGCCCCCCACTTGGGCTCGGGCTCTCTTGGTCCCAGTTCACCCCGCACTGGTCCCAGTTCACCCCGCACTGGTCCCGGTTTGGTCCCTCCAACGCACTCTGGACCCTCTGGTCCCAGCTCAGCCCCTCCGGCACCGGGAGCAGCTCCCGAACTCTGACCCCCCAGCCCCAGTCCGACCCCCTCAGCTGGTCCAGACCCCAGCCCGGGCCAGCCCCGCTGCCCCCCAGGCCTGGGGGGCCCATTCAGCCCCCAGCCCCACGGGGCCGGATTCCCCCGGGATTCCTGGCAGCCGAGGCCGCTCCGGCTCTCGCTCCGGCTCTCGCTCCGTGCACGCAGCAGCGGTCGCTGGCAGCAGCACCGAGCACCACCGGAGCGGGCGGTTGTCAGGGGCCACGGGAGCTCCCAGCTTGGCTCGCGCTGCCATCGAAGGTGCCTGCGCGCACGGGGGCGGTTCCTGGGGTCTCCGAAGGGCCCCTCGAGCCCCCTCCCCAAGTGCGTCGAGGCGCCGCGTGGCCCCTGCCGACACCGGCCCCAGGCACCTGCAGCTCCACAAAACTCCATCCCGAAGCCAGGCAGCCTCCTGGAGGTCCCCGGCCTCCTCTCCCGGTGGGATCAGCACCTCTGGCTTTCCAACTCCCTCGCTCCAAAGGAAGAGGAGAAAAGCGTGGATTAGCTGGGAAGAGCCTTGGGAGCGGGATGGGCCTGTGCACAGAGCCTGGGCTGGTGAGCGAGCAGCGCTGCCTGCGGGCAGCTGTGCATACAAAGGTAATTTTAATTAATTTATTTATTTCTTTACACATAACTGAAAGTGATGTTACAGTACATAAGTTATTTACAACTGTGCAGTAATGTGTTGCAAAATAAATTATCTAGAAGGCAGCAAAAGTACATTGTTAATGTATATAAAAACTGTACAGCATTTATGGGATACAATTTTTCTTTATATGAGTATTGGCTCTGTAGTGTTTTCAAGTTATGTTCTCAGAAAGAGAAACGAAATGCCCAAGATTAAAGGAAAAAAATATATAAACCACATGGATTTTACTCCATTAAAAACACAGTTGGCAAAGTCCTTTCTCTGCGTCGCCGTTTCTCCGTGCGTCCGTGCGCGCCGCTCGCCGTGCTGCCCGGCGC